GAGATTTGGGATAAGCTCCAAGTCACTCATGAAGGAATCGACGAAGTGAGGGAATCAAAGAAAAGTCTTCTCAACCATAGCTACGAGAAATTTAAGATGAAATCCGATGAAGACATCAAAGCTATGACAGATAAATTTTCTATGATTTTCAACGGTCTCAAGGGATATGGAGAAGTAATCCCTAATGAGAAGCTTGTGAGGAAGATGATTTACTCTCTTCCAAATGAGTGGCAATCGAAGAAGACGACCATTATCGAAGCAAGAAACTTAAAGTCTCTCACTCTCAATGAGCTAATTGGTTCCCTTCTCACTCATGAGATGATGATGAAAGAATATGAAGAAAGGGAAGAGAAGAAAAACAAGAAGAAGAATGAGGTAGGCATTGCCTTCAAATCCACCAATAAAAGCTATCAAGATTCAAGTTATGAGGTGGATGAAGATGATGATGAACAAGAATAAGAGATAGTCAAACTCTTGAAGGAACTCAAGAGATTCATGATTTCCAGGAAAGTGAAACATGAATCAATCAAGAAGAAGAGTCCCCCGATATGTTTCAATTGTCAAAGAAAGGGGCATGTCAAGTATGAATGTCCTCTTCTAAAGAAAAAGGGGAAGAAGGCATTTGTTGCATCTTGGAGTGATGAAGATGATTCCAATGATGAAGATAAAGTAGTCAACCTATGCCTCATGACCACTCAAGAAGAATTCGAGGTATCTTCTAACTCAAATGAATTTAATTCATTTACTTTTGATGAGTTACAAGATGTTTACAATAGGTTGTATTTGGGATTTGAGACCATGAATTCCAAATATACGAAATTAATTTCAGAACTCAAAATTAAAGATAATTTGATTCTGAAAGCAAAAGTTGATTTTGAAAATCAAAATGAAATTTTGAAAAATAATTTAGAGCTTTCAAAAATCAAAATAAATGATTTAGAAAAAGAAAATTTTGAGTTAGGAGTTAAGCTTGAAGGCTTAACAAAAGAAAAAGAATTAATTTCTAAAAATAACCTATTATGTTTAAAAATGGCAAAATGCTCACATTGTCATTTTTATGGTCATTTGGAACATACTTGTCCTTTAAAGAAAGGAAAACATTTTAAAATTAGACAAGTATGAGTTCTTAAGGAAACAAGGGGCATTGAAACTAACGTCCAAGGATCCAAAGCAATTTGGATACCAAAATCGAAATGAATGAAGATGATGATATTCAATATGCTCTAGCCACATATGAAAAAGGAATGGGTAACCTCTAAACTTAATGCTTTTGATTTTGGTTATTTGGTTGCTCATTTGGATTTATGCATGCATGAGTTTTGATTTTGAATGATTATGCATTGTTTTAATCTCATGTATGTTGAAAAGATGTTTTATGATGAATATTTTAAAGTTTTAAATGATTTTTTAGAATTTTTTAGTTCATCATAATAAAATTTTGGTCAAAATTATTTTTAAATGCAAACGATATCTCTCTAACAATTGATATCAACTTTTCAAATACTTTGATTTTATAAATTTTAAATTTTGACCTAAATTTAAATGTTTATGCATGTGATTTAAAATGCAAAAGATATCTCTCTAACAATTGATATCAAAATTTTCAAATGCAAAACATTTTTGGAAAACTTTATGCATATGAACTTAATTCAATAGTTGATATTGCATAAAATATTTTAGACTTGGATGTATTGAATTTCATGTGCTACTAACATGTTTGTTATTCTTTGTTGAAATTCAATTTTGTTTGAGTGTCATGATCTTAAAAGCTAAATTTTGTTTGGAATTCTATTATTGAGGGGGAGCTTTGATTTTTTAAATGATTTTTAAATGTCAAATTTACCACTTACTCTCCAAAGTTATTTTGAACTTCAAAGATTGAATTATTTTTGATATAACAAAAAGGGGGAGAAGTTTGGTTTGAAAAATTCAATTTCTTAATGAAAAAGGGGGAGCTTAACATATTCATATATTTTCCAACAATTAGTATCTTTTTCATTAAACATTTTATTAAGAGGGAGTTTTGCCAAAAACAATTTTTCAAATGTTTTGTTATATCAAAAAGCGGGAGATTGTTGAACTATGTTTTGATATAACAATTTAAGGAAAAATGTTTTTGGACTTAATTGAATTTATTCAAAGTTTTAAAAGGTTTCAAAAATAATTCAAAGTCCATTAAAATCGGATTTGAGCCAAAATGCTAAAGGGTGTCAAAGTGCATCCATGCATCCCTGCAGTGCATCCATGCACCTGCACTAATGCATCTATGCATCATGCAATGCATCCATGCACTCAAACATCGAATGCACTTAGTGCATCGATGCATCCATCCATATATCGATGCATGCATCGATGCATCCTGTCATGCATCCATGCATCAAGGGTGCAACGGCTAGTAACGGCTAGTTTATTTGAATTTAACAAAGGGGTATCGATGCACCTTGATAGTGCACCAATGCATCATGTTATGGGCAGCCTTTTTGAGTAGAAAATCATCCCCAAATGGCTCCAAAACATCCCCAACGGTTATATACGACATCAAACACATTCCAAGCTATAAATACAAGCTAAGGACACTTGAAGAATAAAGAGAACAACTATCCAAGCAATCAAACACAAGAGAAGAGTTTTTCATTCTTATTTTATCTTTCTCTTGTAAATATTTTGTTCTTGTGAGCTCAATCTTGTAAACACCTGCTTTAGAGAGGTTTTTTTGTTTACTTATTTTATCCTTTTGTAAAGGGGAAAGGTTCTAGCTTATCCTGTGTAAAAGCTAGGGAAAGGTTATAGTTTAGCCCGGAAAAACTAGGGAGATGTAAGGTTATCTCTTTGTCCTAAAAAGAAAGAACAAATTAGTGAATTTGTTGGAAAATCCTTGGTGAGGAGCTAAGGTAGTGGACGTAGACTTTGGTTTAGAAAGTCGAACCACTCTAAATTACTGTGCAATTTTCTATCTTTCAATCTCCTTACTCCCTAAACTCAAAAACCGTTCCGACCCCTCTTTTGCAAACCGTTCCGGTTGTCGAATCGAGCTTTCGAAAATCCTAACAGGCACCCTTGACTAAGTTAATACAAAAGGGAGTTCTTTTTCATATGGAATGAGAGGCCCCAAGAGAGCTTTGATTGGTTGAAAGAAATCCTCACTCAAGCCCCCGTTTTGAATCAGCTTTAGTCAGGAAAAGAGTTCAATATGTTTAGTGATGTGTCACTAAATGGGCTAGGGTATGTTTTGATACAAGAAGAGAAAGTTATGGTTTATGATTCTCGTCAGCTTAATCCTTATGAACGTAACTACCCTACGTATGATGTGGAACTTGAAGTAGTAGTATTTGCGTTAAATATTTGGAGACACTATTTGTTTAGGGAGAAGTGTCACATATTTACAGACCACAAGAGCCATAAGTACCTACTCACCTAGAAAGAATTGAACTTGAGGCATCGTATATGGGTAGAACTACTGAAGAACTATGATTGTGTGATCAACTACCACCCGGGTAAGGCTAACATTGTTATGGGTGCATTGAGCAGGAAATCAATGTTGGAGTTGTGAGCCTTGCTAGCGCGCTTGAGCTTGAATGATTCGGGTAGTCTGTTAGTTGAGTTGCGGGTTGAACCTGAGTTAGTGAGTTAGGTCAAAAAATTACAGAGTATGGACGACCGCCTGAAGGCTTGAGTGGAGCAAGCCCTCCGATGTGAGTCTCTAGGTAATGAATTGCGTGATGAGGACATATTTTACTTTAGAGGTTGATTGTGCGTGCCTACAGACAAGCAACTACACGATAAGATCATACGTGCCCTACAAGAAATTTAGATTGTTTCAACAAAATTATTTATCACTAAAAGTACTAAATTTGTCATGATATATTTATTCTGACGAAATTTATTTGTTACCATGTTTGTTAGAACAACCTTGTCATGTAAAGTATGTTGTGACAAAATTGTGTTCGTTACCATAGTATAGTATTTATTGTAATAATGAATTTTCGTTACTATAATTAAATTATCGCAATAAAATATTTGTCACAATCAATTAATCATTTCGTCACAAGAAGTACATTTTGTCAGAACTAAATTATATATAAACATCAAATATAAAGGATTTTTGTGACGAAAATACATAAGGCAACAAAAATTATTTTGTCGCAGTTGCTATTTCGTCACTAAATGTAACTTACAGAGACAAAATATTTTTTAAAATAAAACAATTATTTTATCACAAAAAGTAAATTTTGTCACAATTAAGTTAAATTATAACATCAAACAAAAAATATTTTCGTGACAAAAAGACATATTACAACAAAATTTATTTTCTCACTACATTTATTTTGAAACTAAATATTTTTTATAACTTTTTGACTGTGACTAAATAATTTTGTTACAATTTTTTATTGTGATAGAATATTATTTGTCACATTTTTTATAATGAGAAATTAATATTTGTTATAAATTGTTATTTTGATTAAATAAATTTATCACTATTTTTATTTTGACAAAATATTAGGACGAAATAAATTTGACATAACTGTTTACTTTGACTAATTTTAACGTGTTATTGTGACTAAATCATTTTGTTGCAATTTGTTATTGTGAAAAAATATTACTTGTCACAATTTTTTATGATGAGAAATTAATGTTTATTATAAATTATTATTTTGATTAAATAAATTTGTCAGAATATTTTATTTTGACAAAATATTGTGACAAAATAAATTTGACATAAATTTTTATTTTGACTAAATTTACTATATTATTGTAACTAAATAAATTTGTTACAATTAATTATCGTAATGTTCTCACAAGCAAGATACCATTAAATGAAAGCTTAAAATCACTATAACGAGACATACAAGTGATATACCATTAAATGAACTAAGCTAAAGGTTTATACGGTTTTATAATGAATCATAATTGATGCAATTGTTATAACTTATAAACAGCAAACATAGTTCACAGGCAACCTGAAACCATCATGAATCAAATTTGCAGCAAGCAACTAATCTTCAAATGTTGCTGGAATACATGAAGACTCTGACTCTATCACCCTGCAAAGGAACCAAAAGATACACGTAATGTTAAAAGCAAAATGTACATACACCCAATGAATAACATTATAACACACTTACCATGGATTTTGGGGGAAGGTTGGACTTGAACTTAGCACGAACAACACCACTGTTACCATGAGGTCTGGCTACCTTGCCCCAAATGTAGCGATAGTGCGAGCCATTCTTCTTCACCTTGGCCTTGTAAATATAAGCCATTCGCTTGCCGGCGTACCAAGCCACTTCATCCTTGGTGTTACTAACATTATCCTTCAGAGGTACTTAAGCATACAACCATTTCAGCCTGGTTAGCCGAGTATTGTAATAAAAGTAGCAAAAGATTGGGAATCACTTAAAGAAAAATGAAAGGGCATTGCAATTGATTTTGTAACCCCCTCATACCGATGCGGGTAACCCGATCCGATCTAGAGTGTCACATTAGGGCCGCCGGAGCAACCCACTGTAAAAATAGCGGAAAATTTAAAACTTTTATTAAAACATGTAACTTATAAAATAATTTATCGGTATGCAGAAATAAAACAGATTTTCAGACTCGTATATAAAATAAAATACAATTACATGCCCCCTAATCACATGTACCGTACTCTGCAAACAACACCGGAAGAACTCACTTACTGAAGTCGATAGCTGCACTGGTACAATTCTTTTAGCCTGAAAAGATGAGTAACATAGTGAGCTTTGGAAAGCTCAGTAATACAGAACTACCAGATGATGCTGAAGAACGTGCAGATACAAATAAACATATATTTCCTTATTGGTTTCGAACATCTACTGCAGGGGCGGACTCAGGGGGTTGCCAGGGGTAGCCCGGGCAACCCCTCAAATTGTGAGGAACATTGATCAAATGATATTATTTTAGTATTTTTATATATATATTTTGTGATTTTTAGGTAGAATCCCTATATTTCAGATAAATTCTTATAGAAAAAAAATTTTATACAACAAAATTGTCTATTTAGTGTTAATTTTTTCTAATTTTTTTTAATTAATACAAGTGTCACCTTTAATATTGTGCAACCCCTAAAAAAATTTATAAGAATTTTTTTGTACAACCCCTGAATTTTTGTCCTGGGTCCGCCCCTGATCTACTGAGCGGAGATCCTACTGATATTTCAGGTAGTAACAGATAGTATTTCGGATGTCTAGGTTCAGGAAATCATGATAGACTATCTAGTGTGTTCCCGTAAAACCAGTAAAAAGATACAGATCTTTTAAAACACACACACACACATATATATATATATATATATATATATATATATATATATACCCATCCTTTCACAATCTATTTGTGTAGGTTCCCCAGAACCATACACCAAACCCACACAACCTGTAAGGCCTTGAGCACAAAGCCGAGAAACCTGCGGAAATACTTCCTTCAACAATACCCCCAAATTAAAACATTTTTCCGTCATTAAATGGAGATATCAGAAATCAAAACAGAATTCAGAACAGATATAAGAACAGAATCCATATCAGAAATCAGAACAGAATTCAGGTCATGTATCATAACAGAATTCAAGTCGGAAATCAGATAAAATATTTATATGATTAGGGAACACACCAGAGTTTACAGATATTATTTAGAGATACTGGATAATCTTATCGGGTAGAGAGATACGAATCTTCAGTTTACCGATAGAATGTCGGAAGTTAGAATCACTATTTGAAAAGTTCATTAACTGACAGAATCATCAGTTATTCAAAATATATTGATTTGTGACTAGGTTTTTTTTAATGCTAAGAGGGCTTTCTTGTTGGGTTATGTTTAGGTTTTTCGATTGCATGAATTCAAGTCCATCAAATTAAGATAAATGAAGAAAATTAATTATGTAATATTTGATTTAAATTAAAAAATTAAATATTAATAATTATATCAAAATTATCATAAAATAGATAAAAATGTAATAAATTATGATATTAACATTTAATTCCACTATCAATATAATTTTTTGAAACAAAAAAAGTGGAGAAAAGTATTTATCACAATATATGTTATCACTGTAATTAAAATTTATAACAAAAAGTATAATTTGACACAAAAATATGAATACCATTATTTTTGTTAAAATGTTTTTATTAATAATTATAAACACTTATAGTTACAAAAATTGTTACTATATGATTTTTTGGCGCAAAACAATATTGAGAAAAATCTTTATGACAATATATTTTGTTACTATATAAAATTTTTGGCACTAAAATTATGGAGAAATTATTTTTATAATATAATTTTCATAATGATTAAAATATATAAGTAAAAAAATAATTAATTACAAAAAAACTTAAATTTTATTATTTGATGTGATATTTTTTTCTATAACAATAACCATAAATTATAATTATAAAAATTGTCAATATAACTTTTGAAACAAAAAAGTGGAGAAAAATAGTTATGACAATATATGCTATCACTATAGTTAAAATTTATAACTACAAATATAATTTGTCACAAAAACATGAATATATTTATTTTTTGTGATAATGTTTTTTGTAATAATTATTAACACCTATAGTTACAAAATTTGTCACTATAGGACTATTTTGGCGCAGAAAAATATGGAGGGAAATCTTTGTGAAAATATATTTTGTCACTATAATTAAAATATATAACAACAAACACAATGTTTTACTAAAAACATGAATCTCATTATTTATTGTGACAACTTTTTTATAACAATAATTATAGCTTATAGTTATAAATTATGTCACTATATGATTTTGTTTTTGTACCATAAATTGGAGATAATCATTTGTGACTATACATTTTGTCACTATAATTAAAATATATAATCACAAACAAAATTTGTCACAATAAATCTAAATCTCATTATTTGTTGTGACAACTTTTTCTATCATTGTTACTAAAATTTTAGTTACAAAATTTTTCATTATATGCCTTTAATTTGGCACCAAAAAAATGAAGGGAAACAATTGTGACAAAATTCACAATAAATTTATTTTGTCACTATATATTACACAAGTTTGCTAATTGTGACAAATTATTATGACGATTTTAGCTTTTGTCATAATTGTATATATTTTTTTAATCTAATGTGACGATTATTTATTTTGTCACCAAAAAGCTACTAATAGTGACAAAATTAATTTTGACAAAATTAAATTTGTCACAATAGTAGAAATTTCTTGCAGTGGTGAAGCACATTATAGCCCTCTTGCATCCCATTTGGGTAACAACAAAATGTATAAGGAGCTCCAGCCATTGCACTAGTGGCAGGCATGAAAAAGGAAGTATCCGAGGTTGTTGTTAAATGCTTAGTGTGCCAACAATTCAAGATAGAACACCAGGTCCCCTTAGGATTACTCCAGTCGATTTAGATACCACAGTGGAAATATGAGAGAGTAACTATGAACTTCGTGACAATTTACCAATGACTAGATTGAAGTATGATGTTGTATGGGTTGTTGTGGACAAATTGATCAAAACAACTCATTTACTCATATTTCAGATTGATTATACATTAAAGAGATTGTCGCAATTTTACATTCGTTAGATAGTGAGGTTGTATGGAGTTCCTACCTCAATCATATCCAACAAAGATTTTTGTTTTACCTTTTTATTCTGGAAAGCATTGCCTTTCATCCTCAAAAGGACGAACAATATGAACACGATATTCATATCTTAGAAGACATGCTTAGGTGCACGTCAAAGACCTTGAGGGTAGTTGGGAAGATCGCTTGCCATTGGTAGATTTCAGATACAACAACAATTATCAGGATAGCATCCAGATGGCTTTATATGAAGGATTGTATGGGCGTAAGTGTATGACTCCATTGTGTCAGACAAAGTTCAGTGAAGGTAAAATCGTAGGTCCTAACTTGATTTAGAAAACATAGAAGAAGGTTCAATTGATTCAAAGTCGGTAGAAGGAGGCTTTGAATATACATAAATCGTATACTGACTTGAAGTGTAAGGATATAGAGTTTGTAGAGGGGGATAAAGTGTTCCTTAAGGTTTCCCCATAGAAAAAGGTGTTTTGTTTAGGGTGTAAGGGAAAGTTGACTCCATGTTTCATATGACCCTACGAAGTATTGGAGAGAGTTGGAACATTGGCTTATCATTTGGCCTTACCTTCAAAACTAGAACATATCCACAATGTGTTTCACGTGTCCATGCTTAGGAGATACCAATCCGATCTATCCCACCTTATACCCTTGGAAAAAATTGAAGTAAGTCAGGAGTAAATAACATTAATATGCCAAAAGAGGAGTGACTAATTGAGTAAATAACATATTTTTTCAAAACAAAGCTGAAAATCTCATTAATTATAATGATATCACATATGAAGTTCTTTTTCTCTTTTTCATCCTACCTTTGTCTCATTCTCTCCATCACTTCATATTTATTCTTCCTCCAAGAGTAAAACAAATTTGAAACGTTAAGAATTTCAAGCACCCTCTGAAGCTTTCAAGGTAAGAACATTAATATACTCCCTCTAAACTTCAATTCAATCCCTCATTTGCAAGATTTAGTGGTGTTAGTCAAAATGGGATTAATAGGGGTTTATGGAACTTTAGGATTCAAGTTCATTTTTTTAGAGAATTCAGTTGTAGAAATTGTTCCTAACATTATTCTAAGTTCCAAAATGAGTTAACGACTCATTCTCATTAAGAGAAATAAGAAAGGTTAAAGGAAAGGGACAAGAGGAGGTTAGTCCTTGGGTGATTTAAGGACATTTTCAGTAGCCTAGAACCAAGGTAACATGTTTCTAACTTGTCCATACCACATGTAGTTCACTAAATGTGCATAAATGGTTTGTTAAGTTCATAAAGCATACATGAGTAGTTCATGGTAAATTCCACGTTTGATGTTTACTAGCATGAAAGGTGACTCCTTTTAACCCCTAAAACATTAAATAAAACTTAAATAATGTTTATTAGCTTTGGTAAGTCAAATGGATAAAATTAGGCCACAATTTTGTGCCCAAAACATGGCACTTCTAGATACGAGTATCGGTAATAGAAAAAGAGTATCGATAATGTCCTTCACCAAGTGTGAAATAAGGGAGTTTTGGGAAGGGAATATCGATACTCATTCATGGAGTATAGATACTGCTAGTTTGGTCTCGATACTCGCAAGGTGGTATCGATACCGTGCACACTCAATCGGTTCCAGTAGTTATTTTTGGTAATGGTACACGAGGGAGTATCGATACCAGGAGTAGAGTATCGATATTGAGGTATTTTTTGAAACATCAAAGCTATTTTTGGTATCGATACACAGGGTAGGTATCGATACCCAAGGGTCAGTATCGATATTGCTGGCACAATATCGGAATCATCGATAACAAAGGGTAATTTACCCAATCGATTTAGATGTCTAGGTTTTAGGGTTTTAGGGTCGTAGAATCCTAGAGTATATGACTAAAAGTGAACAAATAAAGTAACAATAAATACAACTAGAAATTTAACAAGTTAAGATGATGTAATATCAACCTTAGCTAGATTTATTCTCGTAATTCCTTCTCATTTTTCACTTGTAACTTCCTTTTCGTTTCCTCTCATTTTCTTCATATAAATACAATTGTAACTTTCTCAATTTTCTCCTAAAACCTCCCATAGGCAAATTCACCCTTCTTCATTGGGTTCCAATTTCTTGTAGATTTTTGCTCATTCTTTCTTGACTTCATTCCTAAATTTTATTTTCTTTATTTCCTTACCATTGTCATCAATTCTCTTCTCCATTGGTGTTTATATCGCTTGTTATTATTCTTCATTTCCTTCATCTTCCCATCTTCTTTCTTTTACTATTTCCAGCAAGGTAACTTCTTAATCTTGGTTTTTTTTATGCTTTTACAATTAAATATCCAATTTGATAATGATATTGAATGATCAATGCCTTAAAAATGATTTTATAAAATAAAAGTAATTTTCATAGTTGATTAATGAGCTAATTTTCTTGAGATGAGATTTTCTTGATGTAATTAATATGTTTTTTTGGGATGATTATAACATTGATGGTGTTCATATTTTGGGTGAAAATTGGGTTTTCTATGCTATAGAATCGATATCGGATGAATTAATATTGATACCAGTCCCTTAGTATTGATATTGAAGGTAACAAAATCAATATTGGAGGCTTGATATCGGTATTAGATCCTTGGTATCGATATCGAAATGTTGGTATCCATGCCGAATGAATTGATATCCCAATAAAAAATGTGATATCCATACCGAAAGTTAGTATCAATGCTAGAGACTTGAGATCAATATTAAAGATTGTTAAAGGACTAGAAATAAGATTGAGAGTAGTAAATGACTAAAATACCCTTAGTGGGTAAGAAACTTTAAAATTACCCTTAAACGGATGAATAATGAATAATAGTGAACGAAGGATCGTTACGAGGGATGTGCTTGTAACGCGATGATGAACCATGCAAATAGTGTGATAGAGGAGCCTTATACCACGTGAACACTATAAATCATTGATGTACAAGTTGTTCCTCTAGTTCAAGGGTAGACCGATAGGAAGTGTAATTAGAGTGATTAAATGGTTGTTGTTGATTAACTAACCCTAAATTGAGTGTTATGCTAGTAATAACATACCCAAGTGGGTAGATGTGAATATTAATTACTTTAATGTCATAAAACACTAAAGGCTAATAAGTCCTTGCATAACATTATAGATGAGATAATGAGGGAGAAAGTGGCAAGTGAGGGTAGGGATGTAAAATCGGGTAATCGTTCAGGTTTCAGTAAGATCCTTTCAGGTCGGGTAAAATCGGATATAGTTCAAGTCCGGTGAATTTGATGATTCTTCTTGGATTATGTTAGGTTTAGGTCAAATCAGGTCGTGTCATTTTTAAGTTGATTTGACACCAGGTTTAGTTCAGGTTCAGGTCGGGTTACTTTCAGTTCGGATTGATGTCAATTCAGGTTAGGAGCAGTTAATTCAGGTTCTGATAGACTTTGGGTGGATCTCGTTCAGATCGGGTCACATCATTGGCAGATAAAATTCAGGTCGAATCTTTATCAGATATGGATTGAGTTCAAATTTGGTCAATTTTTTTTGGATTAATTATCTTCATCTTTCACGAACGTTGAATTGCAATTTGGTAATTGTATATGATTTAGAGTAAATTGCTAAGAATATAAATAATCATGGATCAATTTTATGAAAATATAAAATTAAGGACTAAATTGAACAAATATGAAATTACAAATAAATATATAAATAAATTAAAAACACACATTGATGAGGGACCAAATCGGAATAATTTTAAAATGTGAGGTTAAAATTAATATAGAGAAGGACTAAATTATACTCATTTTAAAAGTTATGGGCTAATTACAAAAATATAAATAAGAAATAAGAAGAGCCAAATTCATATGCAACTATAAATTTAATGACTAAATTGAATAAATATGAAAATGAAAAATTAAAATTTAAAAAGTAAATAACACAAAAGAATGAAATCAAAATAATTGTAAAATGTGAAGCAAATTTAAAAAATAGAGTAAATTGCATTCATTGCAATAGGTAAGAAAAAAATTAAAACAATTATAATATATATATATATATATATATTAATATATAATATATATAATTTATACTATATAAATTCAAAGTATTTACCATATATATAAATACTATATAGTTGAATACATTAATTAAAAACTATTTATATAGTATATACTATATAGTTTACATATGAACTATATATAGTTTATTAATGAATTATATAAACTATTTATATAGTATATACTATATATAAACTATATACTATAGTTGATATTTATATCTGTACTATAGTTGATATTTATATACCATATAATATAATTTATACTATATAAATTCAAAGTATATATTATATGTATGAATACTATATAGTTGAATACATTAATTAACAAACTATTTATATAGTATATACTAAATATATAAACTATCTATACTATATAGTTTACATATGAACTATATATAAAACTATAGTTTAACTATAGTTCATATGTAAACTATATACTATACATTGATATATATATATATATAATATATATATATATATATATATATATAATATATATATATATATATATATAAACTATATAGTTGAGCTATAATTTTTTTTTTGCATTCTCGAAACATGACCGGCGAAGAAGGCAGAGCGACAGTGGTGCGGCTGCGACGCGTCGACGAGGTCTCCAGTCGGTTGGGACGCGTCGGTGGGGAGTGCACCTCCTTTGGATGATGAAATCTTAGCCATTGGATCCAATCTTGATCCAATGGTTAAGATTAGTTATTGTTTTTCACTTGGATGATGATGTGGCTTAATGGGAGCCATTGGATCTAGCTTCTCATCCAAGGACTCACATGAATTTGTGTTTCTTTCACATGGATTGAATAGTGACCCTTAGATGAAGGCTAATCAAGGGTGGATATTAGTTTGTATTTTTTTTTCACAAGAATTAGTGATGTCATCACCTAAAAAGCCACACTACCATAAATGCTTCATCTTTGACTTTTCAAAGCAAAAAATTCCCCCCCCCCAAAAAAACACCCAAAACCGGAGGTTAAGGATCAAGCAATTTAGGATTTTTATTTTTTATATATTTATTTATGAATATGTTTGTAACAATGTGAGCTATTTATTTGAGCCTTTGGAGAAACTATGTAAATGGACTATTATCAAATGAAATGGAATATTATTTTGGATTTTTATTATTTAAAATGGGCTATACTAATATGGACTTTTTATTCTAACATGCAAACTATATAAGTATATACTAACCATATAATATCAACTAGGTAATATACTAATTATTTAATATCAAATATAATATGCAATTATTTGATATGAAACTATATGATATGCAATGCAACTATTATTAATATGTACTATATAACATTCTAATTATTATTTAATATGCAATCACCTAACAAAATTTATACACTATATGATATATGATATATTTAACATGCCAACTATATACTATATACATACTATATACATACTATATATATACACATACCTATATTTATTTATGCC